GAGCACACTCACCCCCGACGGACGGAGGACAGACAGACTCAGACACAGACTCAGCAACAAGGCTAGCAGCGTAGTCTAGACGACAGGCAGCAGCAAAGTCAACCAACTCAGCGACCAGAGCAGACGCAGCCGAGGACTCAAAGGTAGGGTCAGTGACAACAGTAGCGAGGAGACGCGTGACAGTAGGGTGCTCAGCACGATACCGGTCAGACTCAGGGTCCGGAACGTCAGGCAAAGAGGACGCAGGAGGTGACGGTAGAGGGACACGCTGAGGAGCAGTAGAGGGACGCAGAGTCATGTAGTGAGTGCCTGGGACAGGAGGAGGACGCTCACGACGGACACGACTACCAGTGCGAGCAGGACGAACAGGCGACGCAGGACGAGACTCAGGCTCACGACGCTCTGTAAGACCTCCTGTGGGACCAGTGTAAGGAGAGGGAGCAGGGAGAGGCGAGGTAGGCGGTAACTGTGACTGCGGCTGGACAGGCGGAGGACACTCTACGGAGGGAGGAGGACAAGGAGGAGGAGCCTGCCCAAGAACCTGCTGAAGGAGCGGTACGAAGTAAGGTCGCGGCCGCGCAGCGTCTCCAGAAGCAGAGGAGACTCCAGCGGCCGGGTCCTCAGGACCAGTAGGAGCTCCAGCGTCCGGGTCCTCAGCACCAGTAGTAGCTCCAACGCCCGGGTCCTCAGCAGCAGCAGCAGCAGCGCCACCGCTCGGGTCCTCAGCTCCAGCAGCAGCTCCAACGTCCGAGTCCTCAGCACCAGCAGCAGCTCCACCAGGCGGGTCCTCAGCACCAGTAGTAGCTCCAACGCCCGGGTCCTCAGCAGCAGCAGCAGCGCCACCGCTCGGGTCCTCAGCTCCAGCAGCAGCTCCACTCCGAAGACTGCAACGCCGTGTGTACCACTCGCGGATCTGCTGAATGGGGGGGAGCTCCTGGGTAGGAGGGGAAGTACCGGGACGAGCTCCAGCAGCACCTCTCCGGAGGCGGCAGTACTCGAGGTACCTCTCCTGCAGCTGCTGGGAGGAGAGGGCTCCTCCAGGTGTAGCAAGCTCAGGCTCAGCACCCCCAGACTCAACACCCCCAGACTCAGCACCCCCAGGCTCAGCACCTCCAGGCTCCGCACCCCCAGACTCAGCACTCCCAGGCTCAGCACCCCCAGACGCAGCACCCCCAGGCTCAGCACCCCCAGACGCAGCACCCCCAGGCTCAGCACCCCTAGCAGGACGAGAGTCAACAGCTACCTCGACAGGCTCACCCAGGTCTACCTGGGACACACCTGAGGGAGCGGCACCCTGAGGGGGGAGGGGGTCTGGTACCTCAGCACCTGGAGCGAGGAAGAGAGGCGGGGGGGGGAGCGGGGCAGTGCGGTAGGGGAAGAGGCGGTAGTAGGGGACGGACTCGTCAAAAGTGACGTCCTGAGAGGCCAGGACACGCCGCGAGGTGGGGTGGTAGAACTGCCAACCAGGGGCGTCCGGGACAAAGCCAAGGAAGACACAGGGGACAGCGCGACGGGAGAGCTTGTCCGCGGACGTGTCGCGGACAAAAGCTCGGGATCCCCAGACCCGAAAACGCGACGCATCGCCAGCCTCTCCCGTCCAGCGCAGTGTCGGAGAAGTCTCGGGCAAGGAGACACGGGGCCAGAGGTTGAGCTGATGCGCAGCGTATCGGACTGCAAACGGCCACAGAAAATGGGGGGCAGCCGCATGGCTCAAGGAGGTACGAGCGACCTCCATGACCAGACCAATGCGGCGCTCAGCAACCCCATTCTGCTGTGGAGAGTCCGGAAGCGTGTACGACTGCTCAATGCCCTCCTGCTGACAGAAGGCCTCCAATAGGCCAGAGGAGAACTCCCCACCTCTGTCAGAGTGCAGACGCAGGACAGGGAAGTCGGAGCGGAAACGCTCACGGAGCTGGAGACGAGATCTGCGGATCCAAGGGATCAAGACATCAGGGACGTCACCCTTGGCGCGCAAGGGGAAGACCGTGGTGTAGCGCGAGAAGTCGTCAACAACAATCAGGAAGTACCTCTCCTGACCCTGTCCACGGACGCGGGCTGGGCCCCACACGTCCATGTGAAGCGTCTGCAAGGGAGCAGTCGTCGGGGGAAAGGAGGAGGAGTGAGGAGCGGCGCGCTGCCGTCCCTCGACACAGGGAATACAGGGAGGAGCAGGCGAGTCGGGAAGGGGAGGGAGCACCCTGGGAAGACCAGCAACAAGGTCCCGCTGGTGCATGGCCCGAAGGCGCTGCACAGACGGGTGACCAAGGCGGTGGTGCCAAAGGACAGTCTCATGTGCCAGAGAGCGACACGAGCAGGGGGCGGACAGCTGACCTGACGCAGACGCAGACGCAGCTACCTGAGGGGACACAGTGGTCAGTGTGTAAAGGTCCGACCCCGGCTCCCGAGTGAAGGTAGCCAGGTGGCGACCCGTCCGAGCACACGTGCAGTGTGTCACGCGCTCGTAGGCAGGGGTGAACTGGTGAACACCCCCGTCCTGGAGCGCACTACCTGCCACCAAGTTCGTAGAGAACGAGGGGAGGTAGAGACCTGACAGCGTGCCGGACGGGACCGCCGGACAAGGAAGGACAGTGGAGGAGGTCGCAATGACCGGACCCCCAGAGGGGTCAGCAAGGGAGACAGCAACTGGCCGAGTGAGTGGCTCAAGGACAGTGCGGTCACGAAAGAAGGAGCGAGAAGCACCTGAGTCCAGTGTGAAGGTGTGCAGTGCGGCAGTCGACTCAGTACCAGGGGGCACAGACGCACTAGCACCTAGGGCAGCAGCCTCACCATCACCTGGGGTAGCAGACACGTGAGCACCTGTAGCGACAGACGTACTAGCACCTAGAGCGGCAGCGTCACTCACAAGACACGGCAGCTGCACCTGTCCACTACTAGAAGCTCCCGAACGACGCACGCCAGAGCGACTACCACGACGGCCACCCCGATAGCCCCAACTGGCGTACCACTCACGAGCCTGCTGGACCGTAGGAGGGCACGGCTGCTGCACCTGTCCACTACCAGAGGCTCCCGAACTACGCACGTCAGAGCGACTACCACGACTGCCACCCCGACAGCCCCAACTGGCGTACCACTCACGAGCCTGCTGGACCGTAGGAGGGCACGGCTGCTGCACCTGTCCACTACCAGAGGCTCCCGAACTACGCACGTCAGGGCGACTACCACGACTGCCACCCCGACAGCCCCAACTGGCGTACCACTCACGAGCCTGCTGGACCGTAGGAGGGCACGGCTGCTGCACCTGTCCACTACCAGAGGCTCCCGAACTACGCACGTCAGGGCGACTACCACGACTGCCACCCCGACAGCCCCAACTAGCGTACCACTCACGAGCCTGCTGGACCGTAGGAGGGCACGGCTGCTGCACCTGTCCACTACCAGAGGCTCCCGAACTACGCACGTCAGAGCGACTACCACGACTGCCACCCCGACAGCCCCAACTGGCGTACCACTCACGAGCCTGCTGGAGCTCCATCTGGCCACGTCAGGAGCAGCAGCAGTAGCGGCAGCTGTAACGGTAGCAGTGCTGGCAGGGCAAAGCTCACCAGTGGTCGGTGCGGCGGGCGCAAGACAGTGGCGACAGCGGGGCCGCTGCACCAGCGGGACGGGGCCAGGTCGCAGCAGGGAGCTCCGCGGCAGCTGCTGCAGGGTCGGCGGCGGCCGCTGCTGTAGGCTCGGCGGCGGCAGCTGCTGCAGGTCGAGTGGCGGCTGCTGCTGCAGGGTCAGCGGCGGCAGCTGCTGCAGATCGGCGGCGGCTGCTGCTACAGGCTCGGCGGCGGCAGCTGCTGCAGGTCGGCGGCGGCTGCTGCTGCAGGTTCGGCGGCGGCAGCTGCTGCAGACGAGGTAGAAGCCGCGAAGGGGCGGCGGAGGGATCGCGACGGCGGCTGGGAGGGCCGCGACGGGCGGGTAAGGGGCCACGACGGGCCGTAGGGAGGCGACGACGCCACGGGGAGGGCGACGCGGCGGGTGGCGAGAGTCTGCAGCGGCTGGCAGCTCGCGGGCAGTGCGCGGGCAGCGGATTAGGGTTAGGTAACGCCTCCGCGGGCAGGCGACGGTGTCGCGGGCAGGGGTCGACGTCGCGGGGCGGATTAGGGTTAGGCGACGCCGCGGGCAGGCGACGACTCCGCGGGCAAGCAACGGCGCCGCGGGTAGGGGTCGACGCCGCGGGCAGGCGGCTTCGACGCGGGCAGGCGACGACGCCGCGGGGAGGCGGTGACGCCACGGGCAGGCGACGACGTCGCAGGGAGGCGCGACGCCGCGGGGAGGCGACGACGCCGCTGGCAGGTGACGACGTCGCGGGGAGGGCGACGCGACGGGCGGCGAGAGTCTGCAGGGGCGGCTCTCGGGCCTGACGGGTCTGCAGCGGCGGCTCGGGGGCCTGACGGGCCTGTAGCGGCGGCTCGGGGGGCTGACGGGCCTGCAGCGGCGGCTCGAGGGCGCACGAGGGCGCACGAAGGCGCACAAGGAGAAAAAAGGCGCACGAGGGCGCACGAGGGCGCACGGGGGGCGCACGAGGGCGCACGGGGGCGCACGAGGGCGCACGGTAGTAGGTAGGTAGGTAGGGTAACGGTGGGCCCTAAAGCGGTCCTAGTGACGGACCTGCTCTGATACCATGTCAGAATCAACGGACTGGAATGAATGAACTAACAGAGAAATCAGTACAAAATGGCAAACCCTAGAATTGTGTACCCCATATAGGCTAACCCACTGTAGCCTAACAAACCCAACATATATAATGTTTGACAACCTTCATGATCATCTCGCGGTGCTGCTCGCCGGGCGTGCAGATCGCCTTGAAGTGGTGCAGGGAGTACCTTGACGCCGGGCACCAGGCGTGGCACTTCATCGAGACGACGTACCAGGTCACCGACGACCTGTACATCGGCCAGCTGGAGGAGCAGCTGTCACACCTGCGGATGGGCGAGCAGGAGACGGCGACCGACTATTGCAACCGTGCTCGGCGACTCCTCGCCATGATGAGGATGGCCGGCGTGAACTACTCTACGGCGTCGTACGTCACGCATGTGATCAAGGGACTCACGAGCAGCTACAACCTGCTGAAGCGGCTGTCAGTGGCGCCGAGCACGCGGGCGACGCTCAACGAGGATTCCCTCACCTCGTACATCCTGCAGGACGAGGCGATGCAGGAGGCCGAGAAGTCCACGGAGCTCCTGCTGCAGGCAAACTACGCCGCCCCGGCGAAGCAAGGTAGCCGACCAGGGCAGCGCGGCAAGCCCGGCAGCGGTGGTAGCGGAGGTGGGAAGCCGGCCAAGGACGCCGACAAGGGTAAGTCGGCGAAGGAAGGCGGTCGTGGGGGAGGAAGTCGGCGTCGGAAGTGTTGGATCTGCCGCAGCCCCGACCACCTCTCCTTTGAGTGTCCCGACCGCAGCGAATCCGACGACGACGACGCCAAGGGAGGCCGCGGGAGGTCGGCCAGCCGTCGTCCACGTCGAGGAAACCAGCCGCGCAAGGAGAAGCAGTCGACCAAGTCGACCTCGGCGAAGGACGCTGACCCTTCTGCTGGCGGCAAGGGGAGCGACGACAAGTCGGCGTCATGCTCCCTGGTCGGCGTCGTGGAGCCGACCGTCTCACTGGCGCCGGAGGCCGGTGAGGATTTCCAGGCGATGGCAGCAGCAGTGCAGGCGAACCCGGTGGTGGTACTGCTGGACAGCGGCTGCTCCCACCACCTGATGGGGACGAAGGAGGTCTTCGTCGACATGGGGCCGAGCGGCGACGTGAAGCACGTGCGCGGCTTCAATGGGGCGTTGCATGACGTCAAAGGACGGGGCACGGTTGCGCTGCGAGGGGAGGCCGGGAAGCGTGTGCTCATCCCCGACGTGCTGTACGTCCCGGGCGTGCACGCGAACCTGCTGTCGGCCGGTCAACTAAAGGAGAACGGCGTAAAGTTGCGGGAGGACGGCGACGGGCTGCTGCTCGTCTCGGCGACGGGCGACGTGCTTGGTCGAGCAACGTACTCCGGCCGGGTTCTCTGCACCGACCTGCGTCCCTGCCCAGCAACGACTGCGGCGGAGGAAGTGGCTCTACGGGCAATCGTCTCGGCGACGAAGGCGACGCCGGACAGGCTGCACGCGAGGCTTGCGCACGTCGGCATGGACACCATCCTGAGCTCGGCGAAGCAGGGGGTGGCCACCGGGCTGGACCTCAAGTCGGCGTCCGGCGCTGCCTCGCCTTGCGTTTCGTGCGTCGGTGGGAAGCTGGCGCGGCACACCTTCCCCGACAAAGGCTCCGACGCCAAGGACGCCCTGGCCGTCGTGCACATCGACCTGTGCGGGCCGTTTCGTGTGGCTGCCAAGGATGGCAGCCTGTACTTCCTGCTGTTGAAAACCCAAGACCCGCTACGTGTGGCCGCAAGACCCGCTACGTGTGGGTGAGGCCGGTCGCCAAGAAGTCCGACGTGCTGCAGGAGTTCGAGCAGTGGCTGGTGACGGTTGAGCGGCAGACGAAGAAGTCGGTGTTGATGCTGCGTTCTGACCGGGGAGGGGAGTTCCTCAAGAAGGACTTCATCGCCCTCGTGAACGGCAAGGGGATCCTCCACGACCTCACCTGCCCGTACACTCCGCAGCAGAACGGCATGGCGGAGTCGGTGCGGACGATGCTGCTGCACATGGGCGTGCAGCACCACTGGAGCGGTCGGCAACGCCGGGGACGACGCCGTACCAGCTGCTCACCGGGACGAAGCCCGACTTGTCACTGGCGCGAGTGTGGGGCTGCATGGCGTAGTTCCTCGTCCCCGAGCAGCAGCGCGGTGGGAAGCTGAAGCCGAAGGCCAAGTGAGGTCTCCACCTCGGCGTGTCGGAGGCGAGCAAGGGCTGGGAGCTCCTTGACATCGCCGACAACCGGGTGGTCACCACGTCAGACGTGGTGTTCTACGAGACCATGTCGCTCGAGGTGTGGAAGTCGGAGCATGGGCCGGTGTCAGGGCGGACGCTGGTGGCCACGCAAACCGATACCTCGACGGCAACGCTCCCTCTGCTCGCCGAGGTCGGTGAGCTTGCTGATGAGGACGCCGAGGTCGTCCACCCTTCTTCCCCTTCTCCTGCTCCTCCCCTCGTCGCCGACCTGCGTGGGCTGACTCCGGCGTCGGCCTCCGGCGATGAGGGGAGCAGTGGGGCGTCGCCTATGGCGCCGACCAAGAGCATCGCCGGTGGCCGCCGTGACGCCCAGCAAGTCGGCCAGGAAGTCACGACGACAGAGGGGCCGCCGGGGAAGCAGCAGGCCGAGCAGGTGACGCGGACAGGGGAGCAGGCAGCCGGGCGGCCGACCCAGGAGCATTCGGCGACCTGGCAGTAGGCATGAGAGCTGACAGCAGGGGAGAGCTCGGTCGGGACGCCGACTGAAGTACAGCAGGACACCGAGGACAGCGACGACGGCGACGATGAAGGGGACGCCGAGGAGGCTACGCCGGGCCCGCGGCGGACAGGCCGGCTGCGGAGGCCGCCTGACTTCTTCGTCCCTGCTGCCTTCACCACGGTGTACGATGTGAAGGACGACGACGACGTGCTGTACGACGACGCCGAGGAGGATGAGGAGTTTCCGGAGCTCGACCCCGACATGCTGGCCGACCCCGAGCACCGTTGGGACATCTCGACGATGACGGTGAAGGAGGCGCTGGCGAGCTGGAAAGGCCCGGCGGTGAATGCCGCCATGGAGGAGGAGATCCGCAGCCTTATCAGCAACGGTACCTGGGAGCTGGTCGCACGCCCGCCGGGGGTCAACATCATGAAGAACTGGTGGGTGCTGACGACGAAGTACCGCATCGACGACACCGTCGAGCGCGAAAAGGCGAGGCTGGTTGTGAAGGGCTTCACGCAGGTGTACGGCGCCGACTACGACGAGACGTACGCACCGGTGAGCAGCTACGTCACGCTGAGGATCTTCCTCAGTATCGTCGCCGACCTCGACTTCAATCTGATGCAGCTCGACATGAAGAACGCCTTCTTGCAGAGCAAGCTCGACCGGGTGCTGTACATGTACCAGCCGGACTACTTCAACGACGGAACTGGCCGGGTGTGCAAGCTGCTGAAGAGCCTCTACGGGCTGAAGCAGTCGCCGCTGCTGTGGTACTTGGCACTCAACGACGTGCTGGTCGGCGCCGGGTGGAAGAAGAGCCAGGTCGACGAGGCTCTGTACTTCAAGGTCGGCGACGACGGAGTGGCCTGCTGGGTGCTGGTCTATGTCGACGACCTGCTCGCCGCCAGCAGCAGCGCCGCGATGCTGAAGGAGCTGAAGGAGCTGCTGGAGGCCGCCTTTGAGCTGCGTGAGATCTCGCCGGTGTAGAAGTACCTCGGGCTGGAAATCGTGCGCGACAGGCCGGCAAGGAAGCTGTGGCTCCACCAGCAGGGCTACGCCGACAAGCTGCGTAGGCGCTTCATCGACGAGGAGCAGGGCGGACGGACTCCGAAGACGCCGGTCTCGGTCGATGCCTACGCCGAGCTCACCTTCGACGACGAGGAGGCGCAGGAGCGCCAGGAGGAGGAGTACCGGCAGAAGGTCGGCTCGCTGCAGTTCGCGGCGACGACGACGAGGCCGGACATCGCCTTCGCCTGCAGCAAGCTGGGGAGCGGCCTCACGGTGAGGAGCGACCAGCACTAGCGCGAGGTCGACCGCTGCCTCGCCTACCTCGCCAACACGCGTGACACCGCCCTGGAGTTCGGCGGTGGACCAGAGTCGCTGGAGCTGGTCGGCTACGTGGACGCCGACGACGCCGGTGACAAGCAGAACCGGACGAGCACGGGCGGCTACGTGTTCGTCTACGGAGGGGCCGCGGTCTCCTGGTCGAGCCAGCGCATCAAGTGCGCGACGTTGTCGTCGACCGAGTCGGAGTACGTGGCGGCCACCGAAGCCGGGAAGGAAGGACGCCGACTTCGCTTCCTCCTGGCGGAGTTCCGGCAGCTGGACGCCGGGAAGCCGACTGTCCTTCGGGTGGACAACAAGTCGGCCATCACAGTCGCCGAGGGCATGGGGTTGACGGGCAACCTCAAGCACATGGAGCGGCGACAGGCTTGGCTGCAGCACATGGTGAAGCGGGGGAAGTTTGCGCTGCAGTACATCCCGACCACCGAGCAGCCGGCCGACTTTCTGACGAAGGCGCTGCACTACCCGGCCTTCAACCGGTGCTCCGTCGCAGTCGGCCAGGTGCGCCTGGCTGAAGTCGGCGACGGTGACAACGACGTGCAGCAGTAGGTGCCATGCCCTCTTGCATGGCTGGTGCGGTGACCGGCGTGCTGTGTGTTGGGTGCACGCCGCCGAGCTATCTTCCGAGCTGTGCTGCCGTGTGGGCTGGGGGCCCAAGCGTTTACGCGGCAGGGGAGTGTCAACGGGAGTTGTGTTCGGCCCCGTCCTCGCTTGGGCGGAGCCGACCTCGTGGTCGGGTGTACGGGGGAGATGCAGCCGACCTGCAGCAGTGGGCACGGGGGCCACTGCAAGGGCGTGGAGCTTGGAGGCGTCTGCGTGGAGGGCGCCGAGCGGGTGGACGCCGACCTGGGCGTCTGCTCGGCGTCCTGGGTGCCTAGACGCCGTGCTAGGCGTCTGCTCGGCGTCCTGGGAGGTGGGACGCCGACCTGGGCGTCTACCCGGCGTCCTGGGAGGCTGGACGCCGACCTGATGGTCTGCTCGGCGTCTCGGGTGCCTGGACGCCGACCAAGACGTCTAGACAGCGTCCTGGGCGAGTGGACGCCGACCAGGACGCCAGGACGCCGACCTGGGGACGCCGGGCTTGGCGTAGCCGGCGTCCGACAAGGCTGGACGACCAGGCGGGGTTGCCCGGTCGACCGGGATACCCGGGCGACGTGTGCGAAGGTCGCCGGGGGAGATTTCTGCGAGGACGACCTCGGGGATGGTATCCCGAGGTCGACGTGGCTGATGGGTGCCGTCCCGAGCGGGAATGTCTACGCTAGGCGCGTGACGGGGAGTTGGACGCCAACCAGCCGCGCACACCTGCGAAGCAGGTGCACCGTTGTCCTGCGGGTGCAACGCTGTGCAGCCGACTTGCTGCAGCGTTGGCACACCGTGGACATGCAACGTTGGCGCGCCGCATCTCTGCCGCGCTGGAGTGGTGCGAGCACTGCTGCGCTGGATCGCGGTCGACCGTGCTGCGCTGGAGGTCGACCAGCAGCTGTGCTAGCTCTGATGTAGTGATGCATGCCAATGTTGTTGCAATCATTCTGAACTTTCATTGTGATGTTTTCCGAGTGGAACTCTTGCCAATTTTCCCCGTGAACTAGCAAGTAGTGTGCGCACAAGGAAACGACTAAGGAACGAACGCAGAGATCCCTCTCACACACGTGCCTTCCCCGTAGTCAGGCTCCCGTTGCTAGAGTTATCTCCTCATCCCGCACGCTTTCTATTTTGTCTTGCGCGGTTTTTATTTTGTCGCTTGTTGAACGTTCGGCGTGTCGCAGGTGTGTGCAGAAGGCGTTTTATTTTGTGATGAGGGACCCGAGCCTTTGTCTCAAGCTTCAAGTGATTTTGAAACTCGCCAAAAGGGTACACTTCAAGATATTGAAGATAGTTACATTACAATGTGTAGTGTAACATTTCTGTGGGTGTAGGCCCTTGTGGAGGGTAGTTTCGAGACCCTTCTTGGTTGGGGACAGTGTGGCACTGTTCCACATTACTGTACCTCGGTTCTTGGGGTTTGTAGGAGCTGGGAGTCATTCCCAACTTGTGACCCTTCCTAGATGTTCGTAATTGTGTGTTCTAAGACTATGTTGCTGCCACGGTGCCGTTCATCAAACCGATGCTGTGTCGTCAATTCTTAAAGAAATCATGCGATCTAAATTGCCCATTGTAGGCAACGTCAAGATGCTTCAGATCCAAGTTGAATGAGGTCATTTTGAGCGGTGATCAGAACGCTATGAACGTTTAAATCTGCTGTTCAGGAATCTTACTGTGCACTTTATCATTTGTCTAGGCACATTGAAGCCTACAATGACTATAACATCCCACAGCTGAAGGCTCTTCGAAGTCTTCATCCTTCTCTGGTGCAGCTAGTGCTTGCGCTGAGACGAAGAAGAATTGGCCTGTCTCGTCCTTGTCCTCCACCAGTCCTTGGCACGCACAATTTGACACTTTGTCCTTCTTCTGTTGCACAGCGTTCTGCTCAGCCGTCACTTCCAGCGTCCTCTCTGCCTATCGTTCCTGACCTTGAGCCTGACCTTGCTCGTGCTGCTAGTCCTAATATCACCCGTGTTCTAGCCACACTTGTTACCGACCCTACTTTTGATTCTGCTGCAGTGTTTGCATTAGTCACTGAGCTTATTGACTTTGCTGTTGTGTGTCGTCTCGACTATGTCGCGAGTCTTGTCATTGAGTCTGCGTCTGACAGTCCTCTGTCCGTCGGGGGTGAGTGTGCTCTTGGCATAGACGTCCTTGAGGATAGGCAGTGTAAGCTCGAGTGTCTTGTGGCTGTTGTACCTCATCTCGCTGCCATGCTGCTTGCCCCTGAGGGAGACCCGGATGCACTAGACATCCCGACTCTGCACTTATACGCAGAGACGATTATAGGTCAGTACTCCTCTTAGTCGCAGATAGCCATGGACGCAAAGATGGCATTCTGGAAGTTCACAAGCACTTACGTCGACGCAGTTTTCCCACTTGGGGCGAACATAGTCGATGGCATGTCGATTTCAGGGTGAATTGGCCGCCGAGTTCCCCGCATTTCTTCAAGGTGTGTTACGTTGCACGAGGCTTCAATCTGCGACTGGGGGTTCGACTTCTTCCATACCTTCTCCCCCACCCCAAAGATGACCACTCTTC